AAAGTCGTAAAGTTTATCTTTAGTAAACCACCGGCACTCTTTATCTTGATATTAATCATAACCGCTATTCTATAAAAATAAAACTGTTTGTCCTGAGTGACTAAAATAATGTAATACAGCGGAAAATAGCTTTAATGTATAGTGTCATCATCATCATCATCATTTCAGCCATAGGACGTCAATGGTCTACTGCTGAACATAGGCCTCCCCCAATGATTTCCACAATGGCCGGGCGGCCTGCATACAGCACTTTCCTGCTACCTTTATTACCACAAGGTGGACCGACGATTGTATAGTGTAAAAAATATATTTTTATAAGAAAAATAGGTTGGTACTTATAAAGATAAGACTCGTAGTTTGTCATAATACATAGTACCTCAATGATTCTACGCGTGCAAAGCCACGAGCATCAACTAGCGTCACTTATAATAGAGATTTGCTTCTAAAAGCCCCAAATAATAAATGAAAAGCAAACATTGGAATTAGCCTGAATTTTATTGCTCCACGGTAGGCTGAGCGTGAACTTTTTATTTGGGAAATTAAATAAGTTTATTGTTATTGCCGTAATAATAAGTATGCGAAAGTAACTACTTCAGTTACTTATAATTTCTTCCCAGGGGCATAAAGATGGCGGGGCTAAGTAAGTAAAAAGAGTCTGCTTACAAAATTGTTTAAATTGATGAAATCTATGTGTTCAAGCTCCTCCAGCAAACATTATCATATCAGTTAATCAGTTCACAGCTCGCGAAAGGCGATACGGTGTTGATCGCTTTCCGAGTTGATAAGTCGGCTATGACCTTTCTTCTTCTTCAAAACTGGCGTTGCACGTAGTTTAAAGCAGTGTGGTATATTGTGTGGAATTAGCCAGAATCGAAGCGCTGGATGCTATGCAGGTTATTTACCTATTTACATTATGTTAAAAGTCAATGACAGTTTTCTTGAAGATTAACCTAGGAGCTGTTGTTACTGTTTTGATTACCTATGGTAAACAAAACTAAGTACGTTCAGAAGGTGGAGCTTCGATTAAGAAAACAACACTTTATGGAAAGCCCCAAAAAAGCTCATGACTGTTACCTAAAATACCCAAGTAATTGAACACATAACTTCTATAAGCTAGGTACCCAAATTAGCTATTGTAGACGGTGACTTTTTATGTAAAAGGTTTCCACTATCTAGACTTCATTCCGGATTATAAACCGACTGCTGACAGAAAAAAAATACTAAATAGCGGTTTTGCAATAATTATGCGAGTAGAGCTTCAATCGTATCCATATTTTAACGATACAATGATTGTTATGTTACTTGTATTTCACTTTACAGAACCCAGAAATACTTTTCTAAAACTGTATTTGAGAAAATCAGGATGTTTTACTCATTCGCGTGAAGGATGCTTACCAATAAGTACTGAGTATAAATATTGAAAATTGCAAGTTTCCCTTTAACTATGTAATAAGTTCTGTTGTCTTCCGTTACAAACAATTTAGCTAAATGCCAGTTAGAACTAATTGTTTTATATTACTTCCTTTAGTTTCTCTTCAAAAGTCAAGTGAGCACTAAAGTAGAAGCTTTTCCTGCGGATACTTAGACAACTGATAGTTAGAAATTAAATAAACTTCATAGTAAAGTTCCATGGTAAATGCGCTGTATTACGAGTATAGACTCTACATTAAAAATGACATACCTATGCTATGTAGGTAGCTTGACTTAACGTTTTGACTCTATAACTAACCAAAAAGAACTCTCTCTTCGAACAAAATATCGTGAGATCGTATCTAGGCATGACTTTTTCAGTAGGTAATCTTTTTCAGCATAAAGAGTTTTCTATCATCACGCACATTTATTTATTTTATTTATTTGATCACCAACAAGGTTACCTGTAGCATTTACAGGAAAATTATGTACTTTATAGAATACTTAGCTCTCTCTGTCTGGGTGTCCTCTCTGGCACCTCAGATTATTATTTTTGATGCAAAATAGTTCCCATTACAATCAAATAAGATGTACAACATTGTTTGCCTTCATGTATTATCGTCGGTACTTATCAAAATTGAATAAAACGCTTCGTGTATGCCGCAATCATTCACCATTTCACCTAATCTAAATATTGTCATTATACCCACACATTACACGATTATTTCATAATCGATAAAATTATCAAAATTACTGTCAATAATACTAATAACGTGAACGGAACGCACCGGAAATCGACATGATTGGCCAATAATGGCGGGAAAGCAAGCAATATGGCGCCGGTTCCGGCATGGGAAATGACATTGTAATGACACAGCGCGTTAGATTACAAGATGGTCGTTTGTTGTGTGAAAAAAGTGAGTTCTGGTTGGGTGCGGCGCTTGGGTAAATAAGCAAGAGCAATTCGGTGGCTAAACGTTTCTGTTTTAGTTACTTTTCCTTCGATGCTAATTTAGTAGCTTTACGTAGCGACGACTAACGAGATTATCAAATCAGTTTTTGTAAGCACACAATTAATTACAGATGACGTGAGTTTTTCCAAGATAGATCATACATAAGGAATCTTTATGTACCTAATGGCGTTTAAATACTATTTTATATGACATAATAATGCGTTCTTGGTATCATTGCTAGAAACAGAAACTATGGAAAGTGATAACATGTGATAATGACACAATTTTTACTTAGTTTTACATTTGTTATTTTAATGAAATAATAAGTTAATAAAATTAATGAAAATAAATAACGTTGACTTTTAATTAACCCTGAATGTCCTTATGAAAACTTTTTGAAAAAAAAAAAAACAAATTGACTTTTTATCCTATAATTTAAACAATTGAACTCCGCCCTCTACAATAAGTAGGTACCAGCCAGTGCCCCCATAAAAACAATACTGTCAAATTAGATTAGCTTCCTTCCCCGCGCTGTCGACCGTGACGTGGTGACGTCAAGTGACGTCACGCGGCAAAATGGCGGTCCAACGACCGTTAATGCTTGTGTGTGTGGTTTGTGAATGGGTGGACTGTTATGTTTCTATTGAAATAAAAAAACATTGTGTTTACTTTACATTTATTTGGATACGGATTAATTGAGGTCGTTAAAAATATTAAAANTACCTATTAAAATGTTAGAACTGTGGATTGAGGCTTTTAAGTTCCTGCTCTACACGTTCTAAATCAACAAGATTAGATCACGAAATTAAATCCTATAGAATTCAAATACCTAAGGCTTTTGATTTCAAAAGTTATCGAATGACATAACACTGAGAGCTTTTAAAGTTTTTACAATTTTATTTTCATTATTTATCGTTGATGTAAAAGAACAATTAAAAGCTTAAAAAGGTTGGAAATATTAAGCTCTAGACTTTATACAGGCACTATTTAATACACTTTTTTCATTTACATTTTCATTCTAATGAAAATAGAGTTAATGAGTGTTAGTTTTCCTTCACTCACAATAAAACAATTTTTGAGTCTTGCATTTATGTAATAACTGTCTGTTAACACTTTATGTGCTTAAGTAAGTAAGTATTTGTTCCATGTTTTCAAAAGGATAATTTTAAGGACATCATTTAAAATTCTTAGTTCACCTGTCATTGTTTTTAATTGTTACAATACAATTGCGGTTTTCTAGAGAATTAATGAGTGTAGGTAAAATATTTAGTTGGTACTTTTTGATGTGTGTCAGTTGATTTAATAAGCTCGTTGGTAACCGCAGAATTATTCGTTATAGTTAACAGCTTTCGGATTTTAATATAATTTAAAGTGTACGAGTATTCTGTAACAAATCTTCTTAGATATGTTAATTTTCTTTCTTTTGCGTTAGGTATTTGTGATATTTCTAAAGGACACGTTAAAGTTATATTTAATCATAATAGCACAGCTTTAAGTTTCACATCATTGATACTCACTATAAACTCTTATAATAATAATAATAATAATTATAATTAAGAGTTTTAATTTAAGAATTAACTGTCTATTATTCTTGGATATTCTCAATTATATTTACATTTATAATTGAACACCTGTTTACTTATTATGTACCTACCATTTCGGTCGGCATTCTTTGCACGTTTTTATTGTTTGGGTTTTTAAACGCACTTCGAATTTTAAGTTGCAGTGAACGTAAAAATTATAAACTTTTTTAATTAATAACCTTATTAGATGTAATGTTTCTAATATTGAGCTCTGTTTAATTTGTGAATTAATTTAACTACAAAAAGTATAACAAACAATTTAGCTACAGATAGGTAAGTAGGTAGATAACGTGCGTGTAACACAACAGTTATAATTAAAATCTTAATGGCGTAATTAGCACAAATGTGATGAATCTATCAATTAATAACAAGCTCCAATCAAATTAATTAATTATTTAAATTAGGCATTAAACAAATCAAAATGTACACTAATATTTATTACAATCAGTTTCGGCAAATCAAACGCGTGTCTCGTAGTCGCCTTAGCAAAATAATGGACATTGTGTAGGTGTATAATTGCGGTATTAGCGTTCATAATTACACGCCAAAGAAAATTAATAGCTAACAAGAGAGCCGTCGTGGAAAAACATCTGCCAATTAAACCGCCAGCTGTACATTATCGTCTAATTATAATATAATCGACTCCGATACCCTTAGTTTCGACGATTAACCGATGAACTATAAAATGAAGGAAAGTGGCAATTTCTCTGGTGACAAACGTCGGCCTTATCGCCGCTAAATAATGGAGCAAGTAGTTAGACTCGCGTCTTCATCCCGGTAATTAACCGCCCCCCTCCCGGCGCCGCCCGCTCCCCCCGCGGCGAGCTAAATTAATCACACCACGAATCTCGCCCCCCAATCCAGGGCCGGATTAAAAAGTTTTATTGGAGCTTCGAGTGTGACAGCCCGCGTCGCCCCTGCCGCCTCTGCCGGCCAACCAGAGCGCGCGCGCATTAAAGCGGCGCACCGCCATTGGCCGCGGCTCCTTAAGCCACGCCCCGACCCACCGCCCGCGCCAGGGCTGTCATACGCCACGTCAGTTGACCGAGGCGCGTCGACTCGTCAGCCGTATCCTGTGTTACCGAGTGATAAACATACCGGTGGAACGTTCCGATTTATTCTGTGACTGTTGTGTGATGGATCTGTGAACTGAATGATGGAGGAGGAGTCGATGTCTGGACACAGCTGTTCCGAGGACGATATCAGTGTTGGGCGGCCGTCGCCGGCGCCGTCGCGGTCGCCGTCGCCCCACGACTACTTCAGGCCGCTGAAGCGGTTGAAGATGGCCTCGGAGCCGGCGGAGGAGCGTCGGGGCGAAGGCGTGAAGAGTTTTTCTATTCTGGACATTTTATCGCACAGCCCGCGCACTCCGCCTCGTATCGTTCGGCCGTGGGACGCGTCGGGTTTTGAGAGACTGCAGCGGTTGCAGAGATTAGCTGGTGCAGCGTTGTTGGACGGTGAGAGATGGCGGCTGGCGGCTTTGGGGCTGTTGAGGCCGAGAGATATGGCGCCCACGGAGTGTTGCGACTCGGCCTCCGAACGCTCATCGTCAGCTTCGGACTGCTGCTCGGAGCCCCGGCGAGCGCCGCAACAGGGCTCTAATGCGCCCCACACCCCCCTGGATGCTCTGTTCCACATGACGAGCAAAACCTTCGAGGCGAATAATCCTGACAACGGAGGTAAGTTTTTAACCATTAATTTAACCCTTCGCCTGCCCGCGGGGATGTTGTTGATTGTTTCATAAGCACTTCGGTAAATTAACAGTCATCGCGGTTTTAAACAAATGACTCTAATAACCTTAGTTTTGATCGATTGTGTTTGTTGATTACACGGTTCGTTTATCAATAAACTTATTGNCGACTAGGTATTGGTAACTAATTGGAATTAAATAAAAAGGCAAACTTAAAAATACCGTTAAAGCTCAACTTAAAAAAAAACCGTTTACCCTTCATCCGCTAAAAACAAGTTGAAGTTTATTATGCAGAAATTACGCATGTTTATGCTAAGTATTAATTTTTTTATTTAAAAAAAGGATAAATTTTATAGTCTAGTTACCTGATTTTTCATGCTTCCGTACTTAGGATAAATATATCCTAATAAGCCATGCATTTTTTCTTATATTTTTTTAAATAATAAAATGAAACTAGTTGGAAAATTTTATTAATTTCATGTCCCTTAGTTTTACATGAATATTTTATAAAGGATGTATGTACCTACCTAATTTATTTATGGTACGCTCATATTTACCGCTTTAAACAAAAAAAATTATACTGTATCTGAAACGAATCTTATCATTTTGTCAGTAGTGGTAAGAAAGCCAGTAGCTATAACTTGGAAAGTATGTGTTATACGTCGACACTGGTGACAGACAATTGGGATTATTTTTCCCATTTATCCTCAGTGGTGACAAACGGGAATATACGACCTAATCTTCACTTATTTTAATTGGAAAAAGGTAATTTTACGTTCAGTGTAACATATTTATTACTAATGCAAATCTTATTTTCATACACGTAAGGTATATTTTTGGGTCAAGGCTAGGTCTGAGTGTTTTGTGTATGAATTTAAGTGTCCTGAAAAGGGTTAACATACGAGTAGAGTATACTAATAAATAATTTAAAGGTGTAGCTATAATAACTGGGCTATAATAATATAGTACATATTTAATTGTTTAAGTAGTTACTGCCAATTAATTTGAGTTATTAAAAGGTCTTTCTACAATATAAAGAACCAACAAGCTAAATATTTGTTACATATTGAAAAAAATCTTATAAGATTAAAATCTTTTAATAATGTAATGTATTATTAAGAATGGCTGACTGCACTTGCAAAAAAAACATTAATTACTTACGACATTGGGTTGTAATTAAATAGTTGTAATTATTAAAAAAAAAACGATAAAAGGCGACTGGTATCTGAAAATTGTTTTGTAATAATTTATTACAATTTGATGCCCATTACCACGTATCAATTCTAATGTACCTAATAAAAAATGTGTTCAATTAATTAAGGTATATAATTCTTTTTTCGGGTTCCGTAGTCCTGACAAGGAAAGTTTATTAATTTCTAAGGTATAATATTATTTTTATCCAGACATTGATTTTCCAATTAATAAATCAATTGTTTTCTTTGGAACTCTATCAGTCCCGCATAGATACATAAAACAATAAATAATATAACAACAATAATAATGCAACAATATCTAATATTGAAAAAAAAAAAACATAGATACATGAAACAATAATATAACAATAATATTGAAAAAACACACTATTCCCATTTTCCCCTTTTTTATACAATAGCCTTATCAAAGAAATTATATTACGACTTCTTGAAAAAAAAATGAAGTACATTTCGTCTAGCCTCTATGTCGTCGTAGGTAGACAAAGGGTTAACAAGTAGGCAAAGGAAAACATGTACGAGTAGTTTTAATTTTATTGGAAAATAGAATCAATTCTAACTACATATAAACACCGTGGCTTGGCTTAATTTGTCGTCGTCTTTAAATTGTAACTGCCCCGAAAAGTTAATATGGCCGTTCGTTCGTTCGATTTAGCCAAATGACACCATTTAGCCAATCCACTGCTGGACAAAGGCCTCCTCCAAGGTTTTACACAATGCACGGTCCTGCGCTGCCCGCATCCAGGCTCTTCTTGCGACCGGGGCACATAGCTCGTAGAGACGATGGCCGTTGGGGCAGAAAAGTTCTCGAGTGGCGACCACGGGCTGGAAGACGTAGCGTGGGCAGTCCTCCTACAAGGTGGACCGACGATCTGGTACAGGTCGTGGGAATATGGACTTGGACCTTTCTTTATTTTATGAACATTCTCTTGGCAAGAACAATAAAAACAAAAAATAATTAGAGAAATCGGCCAAGTCGTACACGCGTGATGTCGTGACCAGGGAAAATAGGGATCATTACCCAACTGCGCCAGAAGGAGGGTTATGTTTTTACATGTGTACAGATACATCTGGATTTCCGTGATAGGTCTGATACGATATAAATAGGTAGTTAATATGTTTGTTCGGCGAATTGATTGCACTAATTAGACGGCATTCGTTAATGGCTCGTGCCTGATTAATTAGTGGCGACAGAGACCACTGACAGACATATTACGTTGGCCACTATGATGTATACAGTGCGTTTGGGATAGGCGTAGCGATAATTTCAGGCGATGTTGTGAATGTTGTGATGTCAATTTTATCGACAAAAATATGTGGGCCCACCCCCCTCCTCTTGGAATGGGGGGGCTTAGTTTATTAAGTGACTCTACATTAAAATTGTTTGTATTTTTATGTGCCCGTCTTACAGATAAATAAAAATTTGCAATTATAAGCCAATAATATGTGTCATTAAAAAACCACAAAAATTAAAAAAAATGACCAAAAGTCTTAAAAAAAATAGTGAATTTTAGTTTTAATCAAAAAATTCAGTTTTGACGGGCACATTTTTGGGGGCATTTTTGTGGATAAAATTGATATAATAACATCGCCTTAAATTATCGCTAGCCCTATCCCAAACACACTGTTATGTGGTTTAATTACTACCGTTTTTTAAAGTCACAAATGTACCTAACGTCGCCTATTCTTTTACATAGTAGAGATTATACTGGGCTGTACTTAAAAAATAAAGTTTTATCAAAGAAAGAAGAATGAGAAATACAGCGGATTTGAGCATTTTTTAATCTTTATTTTTGCAAGAATTTAAATTATTGAAGCGCTTTAAGTAAACCTCTGAATTTACAAGAAACCATAAAGCCACTAGTTAAAAAGAAGTTCCTTTAACATCTGGAATATTAAAAAAAACTTACATGACATCCTAGTTATGAAATGTAAAGTAACGTAGATTTTTCTTTGCTATAAAAGTAGGTAGGGTAAACCAGAGAGTGATTGCCCACTGGTAGTAATTGCCCGCTTTAAGAATAATATTGTCAGGTGCTGACTTTGAACCACTCTAGTTGGATTTGAATTTACTAAGTAGATGGCTCCGAGATCAATGTACAGTAGATTTAAAATTTACAATAGGAAACACTAAAAAAAAACAGTTATGGCGGATTTTGTCAAGACGGGTGAAAATGTTACTCAAACAGGTAAAGACTTTAACAATTTTACTAAGGAATTACTTGCTTAGAGGTTAATTTTTTTTTGCAAGTTATTTAANTACTTATTGCTAACTAATTGGAATTAAATCAAAACGCAAACTTGAAAATACAGTTATAGCTCAACTTATAAAAAAACCCTTCATCCGCTAAAAACCAGTTGAAGTTTATTATGCAGAAATTACGCATGTTTATGCTTAGTACCTACTAATTTCTTTATTTAAAAAAAGGATAAATTTTATAGTTTAGTTACCTGATTTTTCATGTACTTAGGATATATTTTATTAGCGATGCATTTTTCCTTATAATTTTTTAAATAATAAAATGAAACTAGTTAGAAAATTTTATTAATTTCATGTCCCTTAGTTTTACATGAGAATATTTTATAAAGGATGTTACCTAATTTATTTATGGTACGCTCATATTTACCGCTTTAAACATAAAAAAAAATATACTGTATCTGAAACGAATCTTATCATTTGTCAGTAGTGGTAAGAAAGCCAGTAGCTATAACTTGGAAAGTATGTGTTATACGTCGACACTGGTGACAGACAATTGGGATTATTTTTCCCATTTATCCTCAGTGGTGACAACCGGGAATATACGACCTAATCTTCACATAATGTAATTGGAAAAAGGTAACTTTACGTTCAGTGTAACATTTTTATTACTAATGCAAATCATATTTTTATACACGTAGGTATAATTATTTCTGGGTTTATTTCTGGCTAGGTCTGAGTGTTTTGTGTATGAATATAAGTGTCCTGTAAAGGGTTAACATACAAGTAGATACTAATAAATAATTTAAAGGTGAAGCTATAATAACTGGGCTAAAATAATATAGTACATATTGAATTGTTTAAGTAGTTACTGCCAATTAATTTGAGTTATTAAAAGGTCTTTCTACAATATAAAGAACTAACAATCTAAATATTTGTTACATATTGAAAAAAATCTTATAAGATTAAAATCTTTTAATAATGTAATGTATTATTAAGAATGGCTGACTGCACTTGCAAAAAAATCATTAATTACTTACGACATTGGGTTGTAATTATTTAAAAAAACGGTAAAAGGCGACTGGTGTCTGAAAATTGTTTTGTAATAATTTATTACAATTTACCACGTATCAATTCTAATGCAGCTAATAAAAAATGTGTTCAATTAATATTAAGGTATATAATTCTTTTTTCGGGTTCCGTAGTCCTGACAAGGAAAGTTCATTAATTTCTAAGGTATAATATTATTTTTATCCAGAAATTGTTTTTTCAATTAATAAATCAATTGTCTTCTTTGGAACTTAAGTTCCGCATAGATTGATACATAAAACAATATTTTACTAAAAAAAGAAATACTATTCCCATTTTCCCCTTTTTTTATAAGTATTAGCCCCAAGAAAAACATAATATCTTTGAAAACTGAAATTAAAATTAACTAATAGATCAAACATTTCATCTGGTCGTAGTTAGACAAAGGGTTAACAAGTAGGCAAAGGAAAACATGTACGAGTAGTCTTATAATTTTATTGGAAAATAGAACCAATTCTAACTACATAAAACACTGTGGCTTGGCTTGATTTG